AGGAATGATGGATGTAAAATTATTACAGGGCTGCCACCCGATATACTTACTGCCATTTGTAACTAACGCTGGAACTGACACACTTTTTTCATTATTAAACATCCACATTAAGTCAACATTGGTCACTGTCATTTCACGTTTGGCACTCTCTTAAGGGGAAGAAGGGGAGGTGGGGTGGATGGTGGGAGGAGGGGTGGGTGGGAATGGGAGCAAAGACATCCTGAACCCGGTGTGCCATAAGCATGAGTAATAAATAGGCTCCTGCTTACAATGCCGGAATAAATATTGTTACAAATAGCTCTTTAGTTACAGCCCAGCAGACAAGTACATGTCAGAGCCTTTTAAAAGGACACACTCCATGCAATAATAGGGAGAACTTGTATCACAGGTTAAGAAATACGTCCGCACAGGAGGTACATGTATTCGGATGTACTCATCTCAGAGCGTGCTATGAATATGACTGTGTCCACACACATCTGAAACGCTTGTGTGGTTGTGTACACGTACACAACTGTCCCAGCCGCTGGCACCTTTAGCAGCAGGCACCAGCATTCAGAAACCAATACCTGCGTTTCTACCAGTGTACACAGACACATGATCAAATACCTGCTTGTGTGCCTCCTTCCTCCTTTTTTACAGTTACCAGGGTACATACACGAATGCTTGAGAGTCTGATTATAGTCAGAAAATTACTGGCTAGCTCGGTGCATGTTTGTGCTGCGTATCTCTGAAAGAGTGCACTGTAGGCTTGTATGCATGCACACACATGCTGGCTCTTTGTGTTTGTGTACATCTCCTTTGCAGAGGAACAGGCAGTTTTGGGGCCGAACAAACAGACCAGAGTCCACTTGCTGATGTTGCCCATTTGTGGTGTTTGCACTAGATGACAATCTGCACTCTAAGCTACATGTATAAAAGGTAACATTGTTTATGTATAGCACATATCAAGCTATAATTAACTGTAGATGACAATTACAAATAAAACTATGCTCCTGGGTTTCCAAGAAACCAGAAAAACATATACACACACTTCTCATTTATACATGGAAATGTTTCCAAGAAAAGTAATGTAAAAATATGTTTTATTGCATTTGCAATTAAAATAGGTTTTAGTAAAATCCATGTTCATCATGATGCTCATATTTTTTACTGTAATCCTCTGAAAATCAAATCCCTCAAGATGGTCCAAGTTGGATGCCCATAAAGTGACTCACCCAAATCATCCTAGCTTTTTAAAAAAATCTTTTCTTATTTATGACTCGTTTTACACAGTTGCTCTCCAATTCCACAAAATTCCTATCTGACTACTGCCTTACAGCTGGCAGGTCTGGGCTGTCCACAGGGATCAATCCATCTGGGAACACGCACCAGGTAATAGGTCACAGACATGTGTGGAGAAAAGCCCCAAGAGCTTTAAGAGAGACTCACAAAGGTGACTTCCAGCTCTGAGCCTGCTCAGCTATCCCTGGCAGACAAATCCCTACCAAGAGTCTAACATACATGTTCAGAACTGCACAGAGCCCACCTTCACTGGGAGGCTGCAGCAGCAACTCATGCAACAAAAAACTCAACAGGTCTCAGAGAATCGTAGGTCTCCATATCTACACTAGCCACTGCAGCAAAGCAAGGAGGAAAATTTGGGATAGCCCCAGACGAGTGTTCGCTGCCTATAAAGACTGAGATCACTCTACAGGAAGGAGAATCTTGCTTCTGTACATAACTATAGACATAATGTACGTTTCTAAGTATGAATATGCCCATGGACACATAGCTACCCTAGGCTAACCCTCTTTTAATTCCACCTCCCATCTCAAAATCTCCCTGTCAGGAAGCAACCAGTGAGCAAATGTAGCATCCCAAAAATTCAGGGGGCTGTCTCTAAGTCCTCTGGTGGGACCCTGAGCTTCTGAAGGGAAACCTCAGTGGTAACATTGCAGCACTCTATTTCTCAGTTCCCGTCGTCTCAACTTTTTCTTTTTCTTTCCCTTGAAAACAGGTAAAAACAGAATAAAACTTAATTCAAAATAGCAACACTTGCCTTTGTCTCAAATCTTCCTCTTAATAAGAGAGAAAACTTCAAAGCCCTAGATCAAACAGACACAAACTTTAGAGAAGTTGGGGTGTTTGTCTGGATCTGAACTTCACAGCTGGCCAGTCAGTGGACGGCATAGAGCATATATGGGAAAGGAGAACAAACATCTAAACTTTACAGCCTATGTCTTTTCTGCTGTTGGGTCAAATCCAAGAGACCCAAATGCTGAGGAGATCCTACAAGTTAAAAAGTGCAACCTCTTAACTAGCGCTTAGTGGCTTAAGTGGTCACCCCAGCAATTCAAATGCCATTATAGTCTAGGAGAGCTCAGACTTGGTTCTGTCCTTTCCTGTCTCCACTTCAAAATAAAATTTAAAAAAAAAATCAGTGCACTCCAATAAAGTTTTGGCATTTATTGTATCAAAAACCTCAAACTCTACAGTTGCTTTAGAAAAATTTTCAGTTGAGCAAACAATTTTTTCTTCCTGCTATGTTGTAAAAGAACTCCTCTCTGCCCTCCACGAGCCCACCAGGAGGCATGAATTAGAGAGGAAAATAAACTTCAACTGGGGTTGAGGGTGAGAAGTGAAAACAGAAGGGGTAAGGAGAATCCCAACAATAGGAAAGTAACAGAATAAAGTGAATGCAGATGGTTCCACTCCTGTTACTTAATCAAAAGGCTGTGCAGAGTCACTAGAGCCAGCATAAAGTCATGTGTTAGAACAACAGCTGATCTGTATTAAAGAAGATTAACTCGCAATGCCATGGTGGAGGGCCTGGGATTATTTTATGTACTTCCATTGCCGAACAAGCCGTCAGCACAATTACTGCCCTCCGATGTGAATGACTGATCTGTAACCACAGCTAAACAGCATGCTGCTTAGGGGCCTGGGTGCTTCATGAAGATGAATTTCCATACCATCAAAGTGCTTTTAATGGGCTTCCTGATCCAACCACAAGGCCTGCTTTGCAAGTATATAGAACTCAGGATGAAGGCTTCCTGTCCAAAAGGATTTGGTCGGTTGTCACTTGACAATTCCCAGCCAGCACAAGGGAGGAGAGGGGGGAGATAGGTAGAGTTGTCTCTGCTTTGGAGGATTAAAAAAAAAAAAAAAAAAAAAAGGAAAAAAAAAGAGAAAAAAAGGGTACAGATGCTTTCTGAATGCAACCAACTGCTGTATCCACAGCTGAATTCAATGCGCTTAACAAATAACGGCAATTTAGCTATGCTTGCGAGGAATAGCTTGAGTCACTTTGCATTAGCATCTGGCTGAGTGTTAAAGTCATTTCGACATGGGGAGCAGAGAAAAGAAATTTCTGCTCCGAGCATCCTTTCAAGAATGCTTAAATATTTGAATATAAATTCCTTTGTGCTTGTGATCACTTCTTCTTATATCTGACACTCTGCTTTTCCCTTTTCCCTTCTGGTACTCTTCTATGTGAAATGCTGTAAACATGCTCCATCCCTCTTTCTTTCTCTCTCTCCATACCAAGGCTCTTATTCTTCTAACAGAGATTGTATGTACTACCAGCTACCTATTACACTGACCTCTTTTTTTCCTTTCCCTTCCTCTCAAGAAAGTGCACGAAATTGGAGTCATTTCTACATCACTTACACCCAGGATAGGCTGATGAAAAAAGTACAGTAGCGAGAGACTCACATGTACGTTTAACATTCATTACCCAGACTGCTGGCTTCTCACAGCTTATTGATCAAACTCCATCTAAAACCAGGGAAAATGGAAAGCTATCCAAATTAGCAATCTGCTCATTCTGGACAATATTGTTTGACTCACAAGCTTCCTAGGATGACTGACTTTCAAGTTTCTGCTAAATAGCTGATCATCTTTATTCATTCTATTTATCTGCCTATGTCAGTGATTCACACAAGGCCTTACAGTGAAAAGCCACATGAAGCAGTTTCAATAAAATTCAGTTTACACCAAATGCAACAACAGTCCTCTTTGTTGTACTGCACGACAAAGGCTGTATCACCTCAGAAAATATTGCAGGGGAAGAGAGGAATTGAGGAAAAAGTTTTGCTAAGCATATGATGTTGAGATGCACACAAGAGTTTGGACCTACGTCTTAGGCGGCAGTATTATAAGGACAGCTCACTATAAATGTGGCAGCAAAGACTGGCAGGTCTATTTATCCTCCACAGGCCAGGGGAGTGCACGGAAAGACATCAGGTATTTCCAGAGAAAAACAGCAAATGCCACAATCTCTTTGACATACGTGATGGTTACAGTACATACAAACTTACTAGAAAATATTAATTTTGTCGATACTTTGTTATAGCACAGCTTCACAGGCCAGTTCAAAAGCAGAAGGTGGTAAGGCCCATACGTTCTGCTGCCTCCAAGTTTCACTGCAAATATCTGGCGCAGTTTGTGTTGTCAATTCTCCATTTTTTCAATTTTGTTAAGTCATCTAACGTGACATGACAGTGCTACATTGCAATGGTCACAAAATATCATATATGACAACCTCACAAGGCTAAATACCCAGAAGCTGAGCCTGAGTATCAGCAAAGCTTATGTTCCTAAAGAAGCTTGAATATTTTCAAATCCAGCTCATCTCACAAACACATGTAAGCATTACCATAAAGCAAGATTTCCACTTAGACCCAGAGATTTCCAAGATCACCTTCTCATAATACATGCTGACAGGCTGGAACAGAGAATTAGTGGCCTCCAAAGTTCTCGTGAGGGCTTTAACTACCTCCGCCTTCTCCCCACTCTCCCCCAAGGGTCTCCAGGTCTCTCTCTCATGTCATCTTTTGGCTGTGGTTTTCATTTTACTTTTCACTTTTTTTTTGAAAGAAGCAACTATTCTGTTTACAAATGGCCAAGATGAAAATAGAGCAGGAAAAAGGAGGGAAAACCAAGGAGGAAGAACTTACATATCTGCAGGGAGACCCAAATGCAATCTCTGACCCTTTGCAACGGGAGTCTCAGAAACTCACCTTTTCTGTCCTGCAGTTATTGAGACCCAAGCTATTCACAACGGCCACCTTCCCATCCAGCACCTGCTGTTCCCTCCGAAGCTGCTCCTTCATCTGTCGGGCCTCCTGGATTGCCTTGGTAACAGCATCATGGTCATTTAAATAACCTGACGACGTGATAGAAGAAAGGATATCTTAAAAAAAGAAAGTTACAAGAAAACACTTTAGCTTTCATCGATGTAAAGCACCAATAGTTTACCATTATTAATGAGAAAGAGTTAAAAAGTAATGCCCAGAAACCCATCCATGTTTTGTAATTCTGTTATTGTTGTGATAGAGCCACCTGGATAGAAAGCATGAGAAACCTCAGTGCCAAAATCATCGTCCTGATACTCGATCCCATTAGTTTCAATATTTCCCTGACACTGCAGAGGTTAGCCCTGCGGTTTGTATGCAGCAGGATGTAACCGGATAAGAATTAGAGGAAGCTTTGATCATGCCAGCAATCCCAAACTCTTAAAAATAGACCACTTCATTCTTCCCTTTCTTAAAACTTGTGAATACATTAAAATAAACCACAGGTGGCGGTGGTTTGCTATAGATATGAAATGCATAATGGCTGAGAAGAGAAACCTCATCCACTGAATGCTCCCCACCACCACCTGTCATTCAGAAATGTATAAGAAACCACAGCTACACGGACCTACATTCCCACTCCTATTCACGTTGCTAATAGTAGGTCAAATGTCCACTGTTTTGCTGCAAATTCACAGCCTAGGGCTTAGCCTTAGTAGTCACTGAATTATTTCCTTTTAAAATGTTACAAGCATCACCGGCATAGCTAATACTATTTAATTTTAAATGTGACACTTTGTCATTTTTTTCCTTTAGCGTACTGTAGATTATACTTATTATGAACTGCATGTGATTTGTAGGATAGAATACTGATGGGAGACTCCAAGCCCCAGTCTATTTTTCAAACATTAAAGGAGAGGCTAATATCTATCAATCTCCCTCCCCCTCTCCACATCCCCACACGCGCACGCACGCACTTCTTTCTGTCTTTTAACTAGGGCATAAAAACGGCATAAAATGAATCTGTAATATGAAATTGCCCAGAAAAGGGACTTCTGTTTGTGACATGAGGCTAAATCTAACCAGATCCATTGGTGAATTGTGACAGATGGAGGGACTGTGAGACAGAAGGCAGGCACTAATCACACACAAAATGACCGGCTTGCCTCAACATGTTCCATGGATTCCAGCAAACTTTACACCCTAATCCATTTTTAGAACAAAAAACATCTGGGCCATAAATCCTCTAATCTGCCAAAACACGCTATTAAATCCCATGATTTGTTGAAAAACACTAAGATTAAAGAAAGGAAATATAAAATGGCTAACTGCCGTGTTAGGAAAGTGTTATTAATACTCTTTCTTTGTCTCAATTATGAATGTTCTGTTCCTAAAGAGCCTTGTCTAATCATGTCAGATTACACATCCTTGTTGTATTGCTAGACTCTTCTATCTGATCCGCTGATTGCCAAAAAAACGTAGGACATTGTCTTGCTGCTTAAAACATTTCAGGGGAAGAAGCTGATGTCAGATTAGTACAGTGCTGCGCTGCTGTCAGGATTTTAGTTTGGTTTGGGTTTTTATTGTTTTTTTTAGACTGCAGACAGAATGAGACTGGTATTCCCGTCTTCCTTGGTGCGCAAAAACTAGAAAGAAAAGTTTCTGTGTGGTTTGACTGTTGTTAATTGTACTAACAGTTAGTTTTTGGCTAAATACCCAGGAACCCTGAGAGTTTCATATGAAATAACTTGATCCACATTGCTTTTATCAAATGACCCAGTTCAGTAATTCCCAGCCAACAGAATTCCAGTAATTCCAGCTTTCCCAGCATAAGGAATGATATAACCTGCACCAGCATGGTGCTACCAGCTGATTTTTTTTTTAACCTCCATTTTATCAACTTGCTTGGTTTCTTCCCCACTTTGCATCTGTCACTGATCAAACTTGCATGTAGTCAGAATAAATTAAAAAGGAAGCAAACAAACAAACAAACAGTAGTATTACTGCTGGTTGTGCTCTTGATTAGGCTAGGTGTAATACTTTCAATCTGTAATACAGCCGAATTTGCCTAGGAACTGGAACTCATGCCCTTCTCCAGACTATTTGGCTTTTCCTGAATACTGCTATCTTTGAGACAGTTTGGCACATGACAGTGAATAAAAGCAATCACTCCTTATGTTTTTCAGTAGCTGCCAAGATGCTGGTGTGCAGGGAAATGATTAATATAGAAGCGAGTTGAATGTAAATTATTGTTGTTTAGGGTAGGTGGTGAATTATTGACAGAGAGGGGAACTGCATTACATAAAATGCATTTAGTTACAAGGATTGCCAAACTAGTATTGAGATGTTGCAGATAATGGCAAAGGGCAGAGAGAAGTTGTTTCTGTTTTTACTACACGGACATATGCCTGTTCCCAAAAAGAAATGCTTGGATTTAAAGTCATACATGAAGCCATGACATTTGTGACTGCTCAGTCTGTAGCATAATTTATACGCTATAAGGATAGCTCTAGAAAAGGACTACATATCCATATGCCCAAACACAGCTATGCTGTTAATCATAGGAGGCTGTAAGTTTATGTCCTCCAAAGACAACTGAACAATACATGAACATTTGTCCACGCCATGAGAACTGAGTAGCCTGAAGAACTACTTTCAGAGAACGGTTTTACTTTGAAGTTAGCAGTGGTGAAAAGTGACGGTTCAATCGCATCCCAGCAAGGTGGGCTGTGCACACCTAGGACAAACACCTTGTGCCTTGCATTGACAGCTCCAATCATTCAAATGGTGGAAGTAACTGTCTGGCAAATGACTGCATGTTTCCCAGTGACTTTTTGCAGAGGGCTTGATCTCTCACGATAAAAAGTGATCCCGTTTCTCTACCATTTTTAGGGACCTTAGTACCTTTGCTAAAAATGCTATCAGAATTTTTTGTGGTGTAGCTCTTACTGGAGGGTGACTTGAAATTTCATACTTAACTTTTTAAGATCACCAAATGGTTTCAACATGGTAGTGAATTTTACTTGCTGTAACTTGGGTTGGATCTGACCTATCAGTTAGTAGGAAAAGACTCTGTAGAGTGTTCACAAGCCTTTCGTTCTTCTAGTCCTCCATTAAAGGATAAACCTTTGTTAGGACTAGGCTATGTCAGTCCAGCTGCTGTACCAGTTAAGGACTGCTTATCTTATATATACAGTATGCACAGTGATACTGCTCAGCAACCTCAAAAAGTCACTTTATGTATTTGCAGCTGAGAGATATACAGTAGTGAACTCTATGTCATTAACAATAACTTAGTATGTTATCTTTTGCTCCACAGTTTTCCATGGTTTATTAATGGTATAACACATTAATTCTTCTTACAAGAGTGACCTTTAAAGCTCCATTCATCCTCACAGCTTTTATCCAATTACATTATCACTCATTACAGGTACAGCATTTCAAAATCTGCATCTTGTTAAAAGAAGTAAATTGCAGGGGTCTCAAATCTATGAAAAATATCAGGTGTGTAAGGAAAGAAGACTGAAGAGGAGAGAACAAGAGATGTCCTGCACTAAAATGCAGGTCAGATGCTTAACTCCACATCTAAATGTGATGCTCACTCTATTAAGGACAAAAAATTTAATGTGAAAAAGATGAAACTTGATACATTGTACATGGAGAGCAGTAGGGCCAAGCAAATTAAAGATGAAATACTTTATTACCCACCACAGCTAAAGAGCGTAGGGTTAATAATAATACATGCATTAACAATTAACAATGTGATATTTATGAAGTATTTATATAATTGTAACATATCATACCAAATAAACTTATTTTCTTTTCTAAAATGCATAGAAGCATATTCTCTGTCTGATATACGTAACTCTCATCAACATTAGCAATAACCATGTACGCACAGTGGGAGGGTAATACAGTGGAAGCTAGATCTGATTTGATTTTTGGACATAACTATGGGTCTTCCTGGTGTCTATATAGGGAGAATACGGACTACAATATGCTTGGGAGAGACCCATAGAGACACAAAAACATTTTGCTACATAGCACTGAGATATCACAGAAACAGTTTCTGAAAGGTTTGACCTATGGTTTCCTTTGTTTTTTGTGCCATCCCTGAAAGCGGCCACCAGGAGATGCTTTCGGAGCAATAAGACACACAGTAGCAAAGGTACAACTATCTCCCTCGCTTAATTCCCTAAAGAGAGCTTGATTTATACGCTGAAATTTTAATTTAGGTTACATTCAATCACTTTATGGAATAAAATGTTTCACTTACAAGGATGAAGAATGAGGTATGCACACATTTTACTTAGACACACAAAGAGTAGTCCCTTTAACACATCAGGCTTGTAAAATCACCACTAAGACATTTATTATTTAGATAGTCTTTAGGCAAAGAGGTAATTTTGGCAGGAGGAAGAATTAACACTATTTTCTGGAACAATGTTAAAAACAGTCAGTCAAGACTTTTTGCAAGATACAACATCAAACTTTGTTTTTTTGAATGAATCTTGTGATTGCTTTGCTTATTAGACCAAGGTAAAATAATGCTCCATGCAGCTTTTGAGCGGACTAAGGATCAAACCTGTACTTTTGCAAAGATGTATTTGCATACGTAGACTTTTAACTTAAGGAGGTTTTTTTAAAGTTTATCCATCATTAGATGACATAGTACAATGTCACAGGTCTTTAATGCCTGCCATTAGACAGGTTGCTGTCTTTAATGCATGTCATTAAACAAACAGCATTTATTAACTTTTATTGATAAAGCACTATCTGAAATAACACAGGTCTTTGTTTCCAGAGACTGTAAAAGTTAAGATACTCCTGAAATGGTAAGTCTGTGGGAGTTTCTTCACTGACATCAACAAATGTAATATTACGGTCAACCTGTGACAGCTCATAGACCACTGTCTGGCACTGGCTGATAAATGCCCACTTCCCATTAACACCTATTAATCATTATGAGGAGGGACAAATGAAACTGAGCTTACCTATTGTGTTAGCTCTGGCCGAAGGACTAGCTAATGTTGCCGGCACCGAGGACTTCAGTGAACTAGCCCCACTATTTATTCTCAGAGTTGGCATATGAGGAGACGTGGGCGATGTGGGAGACTTGCCATCAGATGTCTTGGGTTTGGCTGAAAGATTCAGAGGCTGGGCCACTTCATCCTACGACGAGCAGGAGAGAAAAGAATGTTACTAAAAAACTGCTGTTGGCACAACATGATCCAAGCAAAAACAGTTGTGTTCAGCTCATATGAACTTTTAAACCTGAAAGGTTGTATGATACATATTAAGATCAAATGTGATATCATCTTGTCATTCCAGTTTGGAAATGAAATGACTGATAAACTGGAAAATTAGCATGACATGATCAGAGAACATCCTCCATTTGCACTTTGTATGTAAGAATTGTCTGCAAAGAAATTATTCACATCAACAAGATATATGCTTCTATGATGAAAATGAAGAGAAATTTTACAGTTTTTGTTTTATTTTGAACTTTATATGGACGAATTAATTAAGAACTGAAGAGTATTTTCACTTAAAATTCAACCACCACCACCCAAATTGGGCAAACATGTCTGAGTGAATGAGTTTTCAGTTCTTTTTTGTTGGTCTTTTGGTTTTTTTTTTTGTTTTGTTTTTTTTTTTTTAACTTGTGCTTTCTGCTGAACTTCCCAGGCTTAGAATTCCAAACACAAAAATATCATAGGAAATAAATACTTCTCTTCCACTACAACAAGAGAGCAGGAAGAACCTGCCCTTTCTTTCCACAGAATTTGAGACAATAAACTGGATAATTCTGCATAAGTCCCTAGATTTTTTTATGTTCTGCAGAGCTGGACTTCACGATTTCAGTAATTATTATTATGCAAAAATAGAAAAATTGGGTGACATTTCTTGCAGGGTAACTAGAATTATTCCCAAACCTGGCTTGATTACACAGAGTAACAGACAGTGCTATAAAACACATTAAAATTCTAAGTCATGTACTTTTGTTTGACCAAAATAAAATACAATAAGGGGAAAAAAAAACAAGGAAGGGAGAAAAAGCTTTTCAATAAGGGGGATATTTTAGAAGTGATTTAAACTTGACTTTTAAATAACCAGAACTAATGGATATGGTATTAGATCTAACCATCACATATCAGCTTAGCTCTCCTCTGACACTGTGACTTAGGAAAGCCATCCTTTAGCTACAGGAAGCATTACATCATACAATTGGATGTTGGCTCTAGGCACTGAAGAAGCTGATTCTGATCTCCCTAAGTTGTTGTACTGGTTTTAACTGGGATAGAGTTAATTTTCTTCATAGTAGCTGGTATGGGGCTGTGTTTTGGATTTGTGCTGAAAACAGCCTTGATAACACAGGGATGTTTTAGTTACTGCTGAGCAGGGCTTACACCAAGTCAAGGCCTTTTCTGCCTCTCACCTCACCCCACCAGCGAGGAGCCTGGGGGTGCCCAAGGAGTTGGGAGGGGGCACAGCCAGGACAAGTGACCCCAATGACCCAAGGGACACCCCAGACCATATGACGTCATGCTCAACATATACAGCTGGAAGAAGAAGTAGGAAGGGGGGGACACGTTCGGAGTGATGGCATTTGTCTTCCCAAGTAACAGTTACGCGTGATGGAGCTCTGCTCTCCTGGAGATGGCTGAACACCTGCCTGCCCGTGGGACGTGGGGAATGAATTCCTTGTTTTGCTTTGCTTCCACGCACGGCTTTTGTTCTACCCATTAAACTGTCTTCATCTCAACTCACATGTTTTCTCACTTCTACCTTTCTGATTCTCTCTCCCATCCCACTCGGGAGGAGTGAGTGAGCGGCTGTGTGGGGCTTAGTTGCTGGCTGGGGTTAAACCACGACAGTTGTAAGTACATTCAGTTTTACAGAATTATTCCTGACTTACAGCAATGCAAAGCTGACTGGAATTAGACTCATAACGTTTGAGTGTTTTACTGTTAACACTAACATATCTGTAAGCATTTGTCTTCCCAAGTAACAGTTACGCGTGATGGAGCTCTGCTCTCCTGGAGATGGCTGAACACCTGCCTGCCCGTGGGACGTGGGGAATGAATTCCTTGTTTTGCTTTGCTTCCACGCACGGCTTTTGTTCTACCCATTAAACTGTCTTCATCTCAACTCACATGTTTTCTCACTTCTACCTTTCTGATTCTCTCTCCCATCCCACTCGGGAGGAGTGAGTGAGCGGCTGTGTGGGGCTTAGTTGCTGGCTGGGGTTAAACCACGACAGTTGTAAGTACATTCAGTTTTACAGAATTATTCCTGACTTACAGCAATGCAAAGCTGACTGGAATTAGACTCATAACGTTTGAGTGTTTTACTGTTAACACTAACATATCTGTAACTACTATCATATAATACTGATTCTTTTCCACAGAGGATGGTGTGCTGCAGTAAAGAAGGGATTTTATAGTTGCCTATTGCTTGTGGAAGCATGACGTAGATGTATGTCTCCAAACACAGGACAATTCTGCAAAGCACTGTCATATAACTTTTCCATTACCTTAAAGAAGGAAGCTCTGAGCAAAGCACTTTTGTTACATTTGATTAGTTCTACACTTTTGTAACAGTCACAGTTAAAAATAAATTAAAGCTTAGCAGACAAGCATATCAGGGTGGACAAAGCTGTCATCCTTAAAGTGGAATTTAAGCCGTCCTAGATGCAACCTGTGCATGAAATAAAGAGGAAAAAAAAAATCAATGCATAAAATTGCCTTAGGAGCCTATATTCTGTAGTCTCAGAATCAACTTAGGTACCTAGAAGGCAGAGTCCTGCGATCTTCCGGGAGACTTAAGCCTCGGGGTTAAAAATGTCACCCAGTTCAACCAGCATGTGACATTTCGAGAAGGTATTTGTTACTTTACAGAGATACAAATCCATCTGTATTAGAATAAAATAGATAAACCTACTAGCCAAATGGAACGGGACTTGCTCTGCTGTCCCACCGATTTAAATTTTAAAATAAAAATAAAATCTCACAACAGTGCAACTATTATGTGTAAAATGCCCCCTCCCTGGAAGTGTTCAAGGCCAGGCTGGATGAGGTTTTGAGCAACCTGGTCTAGTGGAAGCTGTCCCTGCCCATGGCAGGGAGGTTGGAACTAGGTGATCTTTAAGGTCCCTTCCAACCAAACCACTCTATGATTCTATGAAAATCAGTACTCAGTTGCATAAAAGTGTAAGTACAAACTAGCCAACAAACCAACCAAACACAGCGACCCTGTGCCAGACAAGGATCCCTGGAGAGCAAAGTCATCTATTTGGAAGACAGTATCAGAGGCAAAGGAAACCTGCCTACAGACTCGTTTCAGTTCGATCCAAAAGGGATTAGTTTCCATGTATATTCAATTTTTGACCTCTGTTGTAACTCTCAATAAAAGGGGCTGATTAGTTTCAGATATGGTAGTAAAATCTGCAGTGTGCTCTCTGGCCACTGGAAATCTGACCAAGAACAGCACTTCAGTTCGTATGGACCAGCAACCAGTCCCCGATGGGAATGGCTCTCCCTCGCTGCAAAGTCAGCTTGAATTCCAACCTGCATCCTCATGGTGAAAGGTTTTTTTCAGTCTCATCCTTTTGACTCAATCCCTCAGTTATCTGGTCCCTATAAAATTTCTTTCCTTCCCTTCTCTCATTTCTTCTTCCTTTCCTCAGTTCTTCTGTTCCCTTTTTTTAGCCTAGTGTGAAGGCAAGGTCTTGTGCAAGTCCACTATACAACAGTGGGTTTGGTCTCATTTAATGCAAGTTAGAAATAGGGGAGGTGGTTTTTTTGCATCGTAGGCATCCAGCAATGAAGCTGCCTGTGCTAACTATTCTTGGTAGTAAGAATGCTCTTCTTCACTGAAGCCAGCACAGCCTTCTCTGGAGCCAAGAAATATAAGGCCTTGTGCAAATAATAGAAGTCGACAGTTCCAGAGCCGATAAATGTCATTCCAAATTGCCCCTTCATTCACTTTCATTGTGTTCAGGCTAATGGTAAATTAATCGGAGGTCACAGAAGCTTGGTTCTCATAAAGGAAAATAAGTAAACAATTTTCAGCTATTACATGTATTTACAAAATTATATTACTTCACTGTTTGGTCTTCATAACATTTTTACTTCTGTTATTTCAAAGAGCATTCTCATATCCTCACTGGAAGTCACATACATTAAAAATTCAGTCAGAGAGTTTAGAAATCCTACGTTGGATCATGTTAAATTGATAACAATTTAAGTAATTTCCTTCACCGCAGTGGAACTACACTGATTTATTCCATGGGAGTCTAAAAAATATCTGGGAAACAAATAATAATATACAATTTTGTGAAGTATGAAGATGACTGCTAGGATCTTCACTCCTATACTCAGTGAGCCATTTTACTCTTTTCCCTCTCTGCAGACAGAAATCCAAAATTCTCTGCTCTTCCAGTTTAAATCAAGAACTGTACCATCTTCATTTTTGATTTGCACCTGCATAACCATGGGAAGAATTAAGTGTTGGCCTATCTTTATTTTTAACTATCAAATCTTACAGCTAACATTCTGCCATTTTATAGGTTAGCAGGCTTCACTCGGTTATATCAAGGCTAGGTATAAGTGCAGCATGACAGCTAGGGCAAATAAGAGTAATAAAAAGAAAAAAAATGGATGTAGCACGTTCACTCCAGGTAGACAGTATCTTTCAACAGCCAGGAGATTAGATTTTATACAGTGGGATCACAGAATCTAGGACTACTCCCTGCACTTAGTTTTCATTAGAGAAAGCTCAGTATTGATTGGTCCCTGCCTTTTTTGACATGCAGTTATTCTAAGATGCCATTGATAAGGGTGTTTTTTTCAAGCCCGTATTTTTTAAAGAGTTAAACAAAGTCAAACATTTATTTATATATCAGTCAAAACGATTAACGCTTAGACCAAAGGACATTAAGACCCAAAAGGTTTGTAATAATATAAACACAGATGTGATGAACGTAAAATATGATCTTGATTAAAGGTTATGAAATGTTTCCTTTAAAGTGGCGCATTTGTCTAACAAAACAAAACACACACACAAAAAAATAAATGTAAAGAATAAAGCATAAGCAAAAACACACGACAGAGGGCTAAGAGCAAAGCATTGGTAAAGAGATTCCTATCCCCTGTATCACAGCACTGTCA